CTCTCTGTCTCTCTCCTGATGACTTTAATCTCACACACACAGGGATGGCGTCTCACTGCTGGCCTTTTTAATTTCCGGGGATTATACTATCTCCTGCTATCTCTCGCCCACGCTGGTGGTGCTGGCGCAGGCGTAGCAACGACACTGTTGGCGAAGGGTACAAGGAGGGAGAGGGAAAGAGGGAAGAGAGAGAGAGACGGTGGAAGGGGGAGAGAGAGGAGGGGTAAATGGGAGAGAGGGAAGGACAATGGAGGAAGGAGGGAGGTAAAGGAAGAGAGAGAGAAGAGAGAGAGAGGAGGGAAGGAGGGGGGGAGGGAGAGAAAGGGGAGGAAGAAGGGTGAGAGGGGACACAGGCATAGCTACTTCGGTACTGGCGAATGATGCAAGGAGAGAAAGGGAAGGAAGGAAGGAAGAGAGAGAGAAAGAGAGAGAGAGAGAGAGAGAACGGTTAAAGCTCGTGGGGGTAATTTTTACAAGTCCTTAAGAGGTTCAGTTGAAAGTTGGTCCTGAGCGAAAAGAGAACAAGAGAGAATTGAGAGAAAGGGAGAGGAAGAGAAGAAGAGGAGAGAAAGGTGGAGAGAGAAGAATAAGGGATAGAAGAGACAAAATAGAGAGAGAGAGATAGAAAGGGAGAGGAGGAATGAGAAAGACAGGAAGAAAGACAGATAAAAAAAGAGTGATAAGAGATTTGGAGAGGGAGAGGAGAAAGGAGGACAGGGAGAGAGAGAGAGAGAGAGAGAGAGAGAGAGAGAGAGAGAGAGAGAGAGAGTTTCTGGTTGACACTGCCGCAGGACTTAGCGAAGGAAGTGAGAGAGAAAGGAAGAGATTTAATCGACCAGAAAGAAGAGGATTACAGGGAGGAGGAAAGACATGAAAGAGCAGAGAAGAGGGAGAAGAGGAGAGAATAGGAGAGAGGAGGAGAGAGGAGGAGAGAAGTAGATAATTAAGGGACATGCTAAGGTAGGAGAGAGAGGAGAGAGAAGATAAGTAGAGAAAGAAGGGAAAGTAGAAGGAAGGAGAGAGGTGGGAGAGGAGAAGGAAGAGAACTAAAGGGGTAAAGAAGAGGAAAGAAGAAAGAAAAGAGAGACAGTCAGACAAAAATACAAACAGACAAAGAAATAAAGACAGAGGGAAGAGGAAGAGGAAGAGGTGAAGAAAGTGACAGGTGTAGCTAATTAAAGACAAGAGACTCAGGTGATAACGTAGCTCACCTGTGGGGTCACGTCAACACGTATATAATATTGATGACCAATTAAACCTTTTGTCACCTGTGTGTGTGTGTGTGTGTGTGTGTGTGTGTAAAGGAGGCGTTCATAACGTGTCAATGAACCGGTGTGCGTGTGGGTGTATGTGTATATGTGTGTACATCCATTCACGCACATCGACAGACATATACACAAAATAGAAGAGCTCTAAAGGTGTTCAATAGTGTTTATTGGTATGTTTAGTGGTGTTCAATAGTGTGTTTAAGGTGTTATGTTTATATATTAAAGTTTTATTGTGTTTAATGGTGTTTTACTGATGGATTAATTATGCTTTAACAATATGGTAATGGTAGTCTATTGGTGCATCTGTTGTTAATGGTGTTTAATGGTGTTACAATGGTATAGTAACGACATAATGGTGCATAATGGTGTAGAGAAGGTGTAGGCTAGTAAGATTTCTGTATTGGCGTTTTAATGGTGTTGTAATAGTAATAGTGGAGCCTTAATGGTGCTTTAATAGTAATAGTGGAGCCTTAATGGTCGTTTAATAGTAATGGTGGAGCCTTAATAGTGCTTTAATAGTAATAGTGGTGCCTTAATGGTACAGTAATAGTAATGGTAGGGCCTTAATGGTGCTTTAATAGTAATAGTGGAGCCCTAATAGTGAAATAATGGTGGTATTATGGAGCGGTAGTTGGTCGATAATAGTGGAGCCTTAATAATGAAATAATGGTGTTATTATGGCGCGGTAATGGTTCGGTAATAGTGCAGCAGTGGTTTCTTAACAGCATACTAATGGCGTAATGATGGTGTCGTAGAGGTGAAGTACTGGCTGGGTAATGCTCAGGTAATGGCGTGGTAACAATGTAGTAATGGCGCAGGTAACTTACAGGTGACACCTTTATAAGTCCCAAGGCTGAGATGTGTACTTGATTTAATAAAGCTTCTGGAGTTGCCTTTACTTACACACACACGCACACACACACACACACACACACACACACACACACACACACACAAGGAACAGACATTTTAGCCGTGTGTGTGTGTGTGTGTGTGTGTGTGTGTGTGTGTGTGTATACCTGGATATATGAGTTCAATGGGTATAACCTTGTCCAGTGTCCGCCATTGATTTACTCTCTCATTCTCGCTCTGTTTCCCCCACCCTCACTTACTCTCTCTCTCTCTTCCTCTCTCTTTCTGTCTCCCACTCTCCTCCCTTCTCCCTACCATTCATCATCTTTTATCCTTCTTCTTTCTCTTTGTTCATTATCTCCGCCATTTATCATCTTGACAGTCTCTCTTATCAGACTCTATCTCCCTGTGTCTCTGTCTCTCTTACTTGATGTGTTGAATCTCTGGCCACCTGAGAGACGAGGGGAGGAGGGAATGAGATAGAGGGAGATAGAACACGATAGTAGAGAGAGCTGGAGGATGAGATAAGGCGGAGGAGAGAGAGAGAGAGAAAGAGAGAGAGAGAGAGAGAGAGAGAGAGAGAGAGAGAGAGAGAGAGAGAGAGAGAGAGAGAGAGAGATAACCTGGTTTCTAAAACACAGGTATATGGTCTACCTGCCTCCCTATTAAGGTAACATGTGGCACAACACTCACCTGTGCTAGACACCAATGAAGCTACACATACACCTGGAGGCCATCCATGTCAACATCTTACCTGCAAGACGAAACACACACACACACACACACACACACACACACGCACACACACACACACACACACACACACACACACACACACACACACACACACACACGCACACACACACACACACACACACACGCACACACACACACACACACACACACACACACGCACACACACACACACACACAAGACGGAAAAAAAACACATAAATAAACAGAAAAACACGAAAAAAACGCATAACAAACAGGGAAAAACACAAGCACAAAAACATTAAACACAAATATACACAAAAATATTAATAAACACAGAGAAAATATAAAAAAACGATAATTTTATACGAAGGACGGCGAAGGGAATTAGCGGGGAAGGAAGGAAGGAAGGAAGGAAGGAAGTAGGAGGAGGTGGGAAGGATGTTGAGATATGTATGACGTAGAGACGATAACAAGCAGGAGGGGAAGACTTTAAGGAGAGAAGGAGGAGGAGGAGGAGAAGGAAGAGGGGGAGGAAGAGGAGTAAACGAGGAAACTGGTAACAAGAGAAGGTAGAGAAGGAGTGAAGGAGGACAATTAGAGGAGAATGAGAGGAGTAGGAGAGAGAGGAAGAGTTGACAAAGTTGGGGAAAAGGAGGAGGAAAAGGAGAGCTTCTAGAACAAGGGAAGGAGTGAGGTGAAGAGGAGAAGGTGAAGGAGTGAGGTGAAGGAGGAGGAAGGAGAGAAGGAGGAGGAGGTGAAGAGGAGAAGGTGAGGGAATGGGAAGGAGAGGAGGAGGAAATAAAGTGGAGGGGGTGAAGGAGGAAGAGGAGGAGGTAGAGGTGAAGAGGAGGAGGTGAAGGAGGAAGGGGAGAAGGAAGGCTTCTAGAACAAGGGAAGGAGTGAGGTGAAGAGGAGGAGGTGAAGGTGGAAGAGAAGGAGAAGGAGGTGAAGGGGAGGAGGTGAAGAAGGAAGAGGAAGAGGAAGAGGAGAAGGAAGAGGAAGGAGGAGGGTGTCGGAGTTGACTGAGAAACACACAGGCTGGTGAGAGATGATAAGGAGGGTGTGTGTGTGTGTGTGTGTGTACCGTCATATAAATATCCTCTCAACACACACACACACACACACACACGCGCGCGCGCGCGCTAGGACTGCACTAGAATGCCCTGAAAATGAACTAGGAGAAGAAGATTCCGCAAGATTGAGCTAGGAGAGGAGGATGCCCTAAGAGTGAGCTAGGAGAGGAGGATGTCCTAAGAGTGAGCTAGGAGAGGAGGATGTCCTAAGAGTGAGCTAGGAGAGGAGGATGTCCTAAGAGTGAGCTAGGAGAGGAGGATGCCCTAAGAGTGAGCTAGGAGAGGAGGATGTCCTAAGAGTGAGCTAGGAGAGGAGGATGAGACGGAAGTTAAGATGATCAGTCAGTCGGGTATTCCCAGCATCTTCACGGCTGGTGGCTCTGGCCGTCTGAGCTCTAACAGGGAGAGAGAGAGAGAGAGAGAGAGAGAGTTGTATCTACTTAATACAGGTTCATAGAGATATATTGTTGAAGCTTTAGTAATGCATTATAACATCAACCCAACCCAACACAACCCAACCCAACCCAGCCCAACACAACCCAACCCAACCAAGCCCAACCCAACCCAACCCAACACAACCCAACCCAACCCCAACCCAACCCAACCCCCAACCCAACCCAACTCAACCCAACCCAACCACACCCAACCCAACCTAACCAACCCAAACCCAACCCAACACAACCCAACCCAGCCCAACCCAACCCAACCACACCAACCCAACCCAACCCAACCACACCCAACCACACCCAACCCAACCCAACCCAACCACACCCAACCCAACCCAACCCAACTCAACCCAACCAACCACACCCAACCCAACCCAACCCAACCCAACCCAACACAACCCAACCCAGCCCAACCCAACCCAACCACACCCAACCCAACTCAAACCCAACCCTAACCTAACTGTCCCAACCACCCAACCACACCCAACCCAACCCAACCCAACCCAACCCAACCCAACCCAACCCAACCCAACCCAATCCACAATCTAACCCGAACCCAACCCAACCCAACCCAACCCAACCCAACCTAACCCAACCCACTCACCCAACCACCCAACCCAACTCCAACCCAACCTAACCCAACCCAACCCAACCTAACCCAACCCAACCCCAACCCAACCCAACCTCCAACCCAACCCACTCCAACCCAACCCAACCCAACCTAACTCCAACCCAACCCAAACCCAACCAACCCAACCCACCCAACCCAACTCCAACCCAACCCAACAACCTAACCCACCCAACCACACCCAACTCAACCCAACCCAACCCAACCCAAATCTAACATTCTTCTCTCCTCTCTCCTACAGGTGAAGACATAGGAGCCTCAGGTAGGGGCGGGAGGCATCGTAGGAGAGCTTTCCCAGGACCTCACTTCCATCCTACGTCTCCTACCAACGTCACCACGCAGCTAGGGGCACACGCTTATCTCCCCTGCAGGATAAAGAACCTTGGAAATAAATCGGTAAAATCCTTCCTTCATTTTAGTGTTGTGATGATGGTGTGTTTATCTGTCTGTCTGTCTGTCTGTCTGTCTATCTGTCTGTCTGTCTATTTATCTATCTATCTATCTATCTATCTATCTGTCTGTCTGTCTGTCTGTCTGTCTGTCTGTCTGTCTGTCTGTCCATCTATCTATCTATATATCTATATCTATCTATCTATCTATCTATCTATTGTTACGAGTTGGGGATTTAGAATATAGTTAAACGTCTACCCAGATCCCAACAGGTAACAACAACAAAAAAACAAAGACAATCGGACTATAAAAGGGTAGACAAAGGATGCGAGTTTTTGTTGTGTATAATAAAGTACCATAAATTCCTTAACAAAATATTCAGCGTTCTATAATTGACCCTTAACCAAACTTAACCTAAACATTAACAGTATATACATATTAATACAACATACGATAATTTGAAGCAAGTGGACGTGGGGGAGGCAATACAAGATTACAAATACTTAAGTGCGGAGCTGAGATGGCTGACGAGTAAGGCTGAGTATTGTAGAAGACGGTAGGTAGTCACTGTGCCGTAGGTTTCCAGGATAGGTGATCCTGTGGTCACTTCCCAGAGTAAAGTGCTCTCTCCTCGAATTGGAGCTGACAAAGAAGACTTGGAGGAAGTGACGCAACAACCAGGATATGGAGAAGAGAAACCCCGGAGTGGTAACTAAGACGAGTCATACTCGTGTCTCGTCCCTAGATGGCGTTGCTCGTGGTGCTGGGTAGGTAGATCAGGACAATAGATGGCGTGGTTCGTAACACTATCTATCTATCTATCGATCTAATCTAATCTAATCTCTCTCTCTCTCATATCTCCAAAATTCACTCTTTCTTTCACTCTCCTTCTCTCTCCCCTTCTCCCAATCTTCATCAATGTCTTCCTATTTCCATCTCTCATCGTCCATGCCTTCATTCGCGTCTTTGTTTAATTTCTTTTATGTCTCTCCATCATCTTCTTGTGTCTTACTTACCTTTCTAATCTCATCTTCCCTATTCCTTCCCCTATCTGTTCTATTCCGCTAATTGCTTCTTTTATTCTATCTTCTTCGTAATTCTTCTTTTTTTTCTATTTTTCTTTCTTCGTATTTTGACAATTAAGGTGAGTGCCAGTGTGGTCTTAACTTGGTGCCACTCTGAGTATTGTGTTGGCTCTCTCTCTCTCTCTCTACTCATGCCAAGAACATCAGGAAATTAAACTTCAGCTTTTTTTCGTTTCTAAATGTTCATTTCCGAGTTTCTTTGTTTATGTGTGTAAGTCTTTTTCCTTTGTTATTGTGTGTGTGTGTGTGTGTGTGTGTGTGCTGTACTAAATTCAACTGCATCCACACTGTATAAACACACACACACACACACACACACACACACACACACACTACTAACCACCCTCTTTCCTCTCAGGTATCGTGGATAAGGAACCGAGACTCCCATATACTGACCGTCGACCGCTACACCTTCATCTCGGACGAGCGGTTCACCTCCTGGCACGAGGCCCCGACGCAGACGTGGACGCTGCAGGTGCGGTATGTACAGGAGAGGGACGCCGGCAGCTACGAGTGTCAGGTGTCAACAGAACCCAAGATGAGCCATTTTGTACAGCTTAATGTGATCAGTAAGTAGATTTGGTGTGTGTTGATGCCATGGTCCTCAAAGGGTTAAATCATGAGTCCTGAAGGGGTTCAATCACATTCTTAAAGGGTTAAATCACAGTCTTCAGGAGGGTTAAATCACAGTCCTTAAAGGGAAAAATCACAGTTGTTAAAGGGTTGATTAAATAGTTAATTTCAAAAGGTTAAACTATATTTCTCAAAGGGTTAAACCTTCGTCTTCAAAGGGTTAAACCATTGTCTTCAAGGGGTTAAGCAATCGTTAGGTTTGGTTAAGTTAGGTTGGGTTAGGTTAGGTTAGATTAGGTTAGGTATTTAAGTATCTCTTAGTAAAACTTAACAAACTCCTGAAGGTGTTAAGTATCTCGTAGTAATACTTAACAAACTCCTGAAGGTGTTAAGTATATCGTAGCAATACTTAACAAACTCCTGAAGGTGTTAAGTATCTCGTAGTAATACCTAACAAACTCCTGAAGGTGTTAAGTAACTCGTAGTAATACTTAACAAACTCCTAAAGGTGTTAAGTATCTCGTAGTAATACTTAACAAACTCCTGAAGGTGTTAAGTATCTCGTAGTAATACTTAACAAACTCCTAAAGGTGTTAAGTATCTCGTAGTAATACTTAACAAACTCCTGAAGGTGTTAAGTATCTCGTAGTAATACTTAACAAACTCCTGAAGGTGTTAAGTATATCGTAGCAATACTTAACAAACTCCTGAAGGTGTTAAGTATCTCGTAGTAATACCTAACAAATTCCTGAAGGTGTTAAGTAACTCGTAGTAATACTTAACAAACTCCTAAAGGTGTTAAGTATCTCGTAGTAATACTTAACAAACTCCTGAAGGTGTTAAGTATCTCGTAGTAATATCTAACTACTCCTGAAGGTGTTAACGTCAGGTATCTCTCCTGCAGCCCCCAGCGTGACCATCGCCGGGGTGTCAGACCTATACGTCAAGAGCGGCTCCACTGTTAACATCAAGTGTGTGATATCTGACGCACTCGAGGAGCCAACCTACATCTTCTGGTACCATGTGAGTATACCTTCTGTGTCGTGTATACTGTGTGGGTATACCTTCAGTGTCATGTATACCATGTGAGTATACCTTCTGTGTCGTGTATACTGTGTGGGTATACCTTCTGTGTCGTGTATACTGTGTGGGTATACCTTCAGTGTCATGTATACCATGTGAGTATACCTTCTGTGTCGTGTATACTGTGTGAGTATACCTTCTGTGTCGTGTATACTGTGTGAGTATACCTTCTGTGTCGTGTATACTGTGTGAGTATACCTTCTGTGTCGTGTATACTGTGTGAGTATACCTTCTGTGTCGTGTATACTGTGTGAGTATACCTTCTGTGTCGTGTATACTGTGTGGGTATACCTTCTGTGTCATGTATACAGTGTGAGTATACCTTCAGTGTCGTGTATACTGTGTGAGTATACCTTCAGTGTCATGTATACCATGTGAGTATACCTTCTGTGTCATGTATACAGTGTGAGTATACCTTCAGTGTCGTGTATACTGTGTGAGTATACCTTCAGTGTCATGTATACTGTGTGAGTATACCTTCAGTGTCGTGTATACTGTGTGAGTATACCTTCAGTGTCATGTATACTGTGTGAGTATACCTTCAGTGTCGTGTATACTGTGTGAGTATACCTTCAGTGTCATGTATACTGTGTGAGTATACCTTCAGTGTCATGTATACTGTGTGAGTATACCTTCAGTGTCGTGTATACTGTGTGGGTATACCTTCAGTGTCATGTATACTATGTGGGTATACCTCCTCTCGTACACCACATGAGTATATCTGCTTTATTATATTTGTCATACCACCATCTGACACCCATATACTGTACGTGTCATAACCACCATCTGACACCCATATACTGTACGTGTCATAACCACCATCTGACACCCATATACTGTACGTGTCATAACCACCATCTGACACCCATATACTGTACGTGTCATAACCACCATCTGACACCTAAATATATCATACCACTATCTGACATCCAAATTCGTGTCATACCAGCTTCTGACACTGTTCTCATCACCTCCCCCCCAGGGTGAACGTCGGGTCGTGAGCGCCAACTCTGATCGTATACTGTCGGTGGATCGTATTCCTCCCGATACCTCCATCGGCACCCTCACCATCCCCTCGGTGTCTCTCGCAGATTCTGGCAACTACACGTGTGCTCCCGCCTCTCTGCAGATGGCCTCCGTCATGCTGCATGTGTTGAGTGGTGAGTGTTAGTGATGTGTGTTAGTGGTGAGTCTTAGTGTGTTTTAGTGGTGAGTCTTAGTGATGAGTCTTAGTGTGGTTTAGTGGTGAGTGTTTGTGGTGAGTCTTAGTGTGTTTTAGTGGTGAGTCTTAGTGATGAGTCTTAGTGTGGTTTAGTGGTGAGTGTTTGTGGTGAGTCTTAGTGGTGAGTGTTAGTGGTGAGTCTTAGTGATGAGCAGCATAGTGAGTCTTAGTGTGTTTTAGTGGTGAGTCTTAGTGATGAGTGTTAATAGTGAGTCTAGTGTTAGGATGAGTCTTAGTGTGGTTTAGTGGTGAGTCTTAGTGATGAGTGTTAATAGAGTCTTAGTGTGTTTTAGTGACAGAATTTATGTGTTTAGTGGGTGAGTGTTATGGTGAGTCTTAGTGTGTTTTAGTGGTGAGTCTTAGTGATGAGTCTACTAGCAAAGAGAGTTAGGTACTTGTGTTCTCAGTAGTAGTTTCTGACTTGTTTTATTAACATAAACAATGATAAAATAATACAATGATAAATATATGCAAAAAATAGGAAATAAATGGAAATAAGTCATAGTAGTATTTGGGGGTCCTGAAGGAAATAGGTTAATTAGTAATAGGTGTTGATAGGTGTTAATAGGTGTTAATAGGTGTTCATAGGTGTTAATAGGTGTTGATAGGTGTTAATAGGTGTTAATAGGTGTTGATAGGTGTTAATAGGTGTTAATAGGTATTGATAGGTGTTAATAGGTGTTAATAGGTGTTGATAGGTGTTAATAGGTGTTGATAGGTGTTGATAGGTGTTAATAGGTGTTGATAGGTGTTAATAGGTGTTGATAGGTGTTAATAGGTGTTAATAGGTGTTTCCCCTTCGTGTTCCAGGTGAGCTTCCGGCGGCCATGCAACGTGGGACTACAACCTCGGCGACCAAGTCCTCCTCCTCTTCTTCCTCCTCCTCTTCTGCCTCCTCCTCTTCCTCCTCCAGCGGGGTCCTGGTGGTGCTCCTGACGACGGCGGTGTGGTTAATGAGGTCCTCCACGTGACCACAGGTACAGTGAACGCCCATACACACGCCCACCTCCCGCCCATCTTACCACCGACAGCAACCTGCTCACACTACCTGCCACTATGTCGAATTTACTGCAGGTGTTGAGTGCTTCAGGAGGGCCGTGTCCCGGGGTTCAGGTAGCTACTGAAGGTGAAGTGTTTCTCGTCCTTCTTCTTGCTGCCCGTGGTGGCTACTGAAGGTGGAGTGTTGCTCGCACTCCTCCCTGTTGCCTGAGGAGGTGCAGGTGAAGTGTTACCCGTGTAGTGAAGATCCGCAGGTGATAGAACATTCAGAAGACATTCATAAATCCCAAAGTGAATGAAATCAGTGAATGATGAAGGAAAATGATGAGTTATGGATAAGTAATGATGGAAAATGAAAGAATATGATCAAAACTGGACAGTGAGTGAATGAAGGAAAGAAAGAACGAGGGAAGAAGGAAGAAGGAAGTGTGTGAAACAGAGAGAATAAAATACAGTAACACGCCTGTCAGACACTATGGGCGAGACTAAACGACCCACTCTCACCTGTAATGACCAACACCCCTTCCCCCCTCACAACTACCCTGCTGCGTCCTCTGGGAAATCACCATAAACTACAAGTCATCACTTGTTAGAAAAAAAAAAAATTCCTGTGACCTCTTGTGACCCAAATTAACCAAAACATAAGGTCAAATATTGATCTTCAATGACGTAGTGTGACGTTTCATGACCAGTGATGTGATTGGTGGATATATCGCCATCTGGCTCTCTGATTGGTCTATTTACCGGCACTGAGATTTATACCAGGAAATACGACTTGAATTAGTCTTCTGGGCCGATACAAGATGTATATAATAATATATTTTGTAATTGAAATGATTTTTATTGTGTACAGTGTATATAGTGAGTTCCCGTTCCCCCCAGCTATTGTAACTCAAGAGTTAATGATGAGTTCCCGTTTCTCCGCCACTGTAAATCAAGGGACAACGATGAGTTCCCGCCAACTATTGTAACTCAAGGGACAACGATGAGTTCCCGCCGACTATTGTAACTCAAGGGACAACGATGAGTTCCCGCCGACTATTGTAACTCAAGGGCAACGATGAGTTCCCGCCGACTATTGTAACTCAAGGGCAACGATGAGTTCCCGCCGACTATTGTAACTCAAGGGCAACGATGAGTTCCCGGCTGGCTATTGTAACTCAAGAGACAACGATGAGTTCCCGGCTGGCTATTGTAACTCAAGGGACAACGATGAGTTCCCGCCGACTATTGTAACTCAAGGGCAACGATGAGTTCCCGCCGACTATTGTAACTCAAGGGCAACGATGAGTTCCCGCCGACTATTGTAACTCAAGGGACAACGATGAGTTCCCGCCGACTACTGTAACTCAAGGAACAACAATGAGTTCCCGGCTGATTACTGTAACTCTCAGCAGGGGAACCGGACTTAATTTAACCCCGAATCCGACACCATAACCGGATTTGGAAGTTACTTGACCTGCCTCTGATTTAACCTGAGTTAACGTAACTTGTCCTTAACCCAACCTTCTTCTGACAGTCAAATTTAAACTTATCCCTAACCTAACCTAACCTAACCTAACCTAACCTAACCTAACATAACCTAACCATACCCTATGACTTTCATATGAATATTCGGGTCCGACATCAGGTCCGGCTCCATGTCCGGCTACAGGTCCGGTTTCAGGTCCGGTTTCGGGGATTAAATTGGACCCTCCGGAATTCCCCCCCCATGAGAACCGGAGCCTTGGTTGCCCTCTGACCTTGTTGTTGTTGTTGTTGTTGTTAATGTTGTGGCGTGTAACCCTCGCTCTCCTCTCTACCATATCTTGAGTGGTTGTGAACATAACTCATAACCCCTCGAGGAAGCTGATAACCTGTTGTTGTAATATACTGAGATAACAGGTATGCACTGGTTACCCGTTGTTTTAAATATATAGAGACAATAGGTGTTCACTGGTTACCTGTTGGCCTAATTGCCCTGGAAGACGACAACAGGTAACTAGGTCTATACATAAGGCAACAAGAGACGAGTAAATACCTGTTGCCTCTTTACCTGACAACAGGGTACCAGGCTATCCCCCCCCTCCCACCCACCCTCGGCAGCCTATGTACAGGTGAGTAGAATCTCTCACCTGTCTGTCGTGGTAATTAAAGGAGCAACTTCATTAAATTTCTAATGGGAATTAGGCAGGTATTGAAGTGTGTACAGGTATGGAAGGTAATTAATCAACATATACACATGAGCAAGGGTGAATTGGCGTTAATTGAAGGAAAGTAAAGTGTTTTTTGAGGTTTATTTCAATAATATGTAAATAAATCTTTGTCTGGTTAATAAAGATTATTTTATGATTATATTTTGTGATAAAGTAATTATTTGTATTCTAATTAATCAAGTCCTGTCTAATTGTGATATATTTCTTCTTTAATTATTCGCTCGTTAAAATCTCTTTGTAAAAAAATATAATTACGTAAAATCTAATTACGTTTTAAGGCAATTTTTTTATAATTTTCAGAAATATTTACGTAAAAAATCTACAGTATATAATTACATATTATACGATATATAATTGAAACTCCCGAGCCATATAGAGATATATTATACATATATAAATTAATTAATATTTACACAATAAAAACTGTTTTGTTACATCAAGAGTTTATGACAAAAAATAAATAAATTAATCTCATATAATGTCTCTTGTAAAAATATATATTGTGTTATGACACTAAACTACAAAAAATAATTAATAAATCTAGTTTTTGTCTCAATTGTAAAAAAAAAAATTATGAGAAAATTTTACCACAACACTAAAGATTTTATTTGAAATTTATTATATAGTTTGTAAAAGAAATTATTAAAATTATTTATTCCCAAAAAGCTAAAACTATCTTCGTAAAATTTAAGATAACGTTGATGTGTATTTTGTACTGAGATGCAAATTCTCTTAATTATTAATGGTGAAGTGAAACAAACTGATGATATTTATAATAGGAAGTAATTTATGCATGGTAATTACAGGTGTACTTAATTATATGCATAGTAATTACAGGCGTATTTAATTTTATGCATAGTAATTACAGGTATATTTGATTATATGCATAGTAATTACAGGTATATTTAATTATATGTATAGTAATTACAGGTGTACTTAATTATATGCATAGTAATTACAGGTATATTTAATTATATGCATAGTAATTACAGGTATATTTAATTATATGCATAGTAATTACACAGGTATACGTAATCATATGCATAATAACAATACTTATACGTAATTACATGCATACTAATTACGTAATAAAGCGTAATTAAATGCAGAATAAATTACACTCAAAATAAACAGTGTAGGATGAGAGTCAGGTGTGTGTGCGTGTGTGTGTATGTCAGTGAGAGTCAGGTGTGTGTGCGTGTGTGTGTATGTCAGTGAATTCTGCCAAGTCATGTTTATATCTACCAACATATTAAGGGAATATTTGTATGTTACTTACCATGAAGTCAATAAATATTACTTTGATTTTGTGTTCTTAATTAACCTAACCTAACCTAACCTGGTGTGGTGGGGTGCCCTTAGTCCACCCAGGTGTAATGTGGTACCTAGTATTATAGTTTGGGGATACATACATACATACATACATACATACATACATACATACATACACACACCACAGCTACCGTGCTCAAATGCTCAGCTGACTGACCTAGGAAATGACCCAGACGTCTGCTGAATAGGGGATAAGACCTATATAACCCTTGGCCCTGGAGGAGGCGGTGAAGGTGAAGCGAGGGACAGGTCGTCTTTTTCAATACTACCGGGGATTTGTTCCTGAGTGACCTGCCGTAGTGAGAGAGAGAGAGAGAGAGAGAGAGAGAGAGAGAGAGAGAGAGAGAGAGAGAGAGAGAGAGAGAGAGAGAGAGAGAGAGATGTTAGAAAGAAAGAAGAAAGATGAGAGAGAGAGAGAGAGAGAGAGAGAGAGAGAGAGAGAGAGAGAGAGAGAAGTTAGAGATATGTTAGAAAGAAAGAAAGAAAGAAAGTGAGGGAGAGAGAAAGAGAGAGAGTACGTGGTCTTTAAGAATGATATGAATGAGGCTACGTGAGGTCTTAAGAAAGATTTGGGGAGGATAAGGGAAGAGTGTTGTCAGGACCTGAATGAAATAGGACCCTGAAAATGGGGTTTGAAATCCCAGGGAACGAAACGGATACATTCCCCTTAAGGCCTGAAGGTAGAGAGGACCTTAGGGGGAAGATTTAGGGCAAGAAAGACGTATTTATCAGGGTTCAAAATAAGCTGTGGGACCTGAAAATAAAGTTTGATATCTAAAGGAACTAAATAGAATAAACCCTAATTCTAAGGGTTGAAAATAGAGATGGTCTTCGAAAGGACCTAAAAAAAACCTAAGGGACATAAATAGAGAATTTGAATCTAAAGGAACGAAACACTACGACCCTTCACTCCCCCCCCAGGTCCGAAGACACGCCGATGTACAAACTATTTACTGAAGGGTTAGGAAGGACCTGAGACCTTAAGGGGTTGGACTTGGTATATTTATCCCTTTAACCGGGGGTTGAATCATTGTCCTCAGGATAAACCATCGTGTTTAAAGGGTTAATCCATCGTCCTCAAAGGGTTAAAGAAGTTAAGTGTTAAGTATAGGAAAATAAGTTCTTAGTCAATAACGATTATCGTAAGTAAATTATCTTAAGTAAATTATCTACTAAATTAGAATTATCTTGCGTAAATTATCTTGACAATTATCTAACTTATCTTAATGAAATAAAGTGTATATTAAATAAGCAGAATATCTTGAGTATGTAAAGTGTTTTCTAACTAGTAATGAAATTTACTCAAGTACCATGTCTCTTATAGTAGGTACCGTGTCTCTTAAAAATGGTACAGTGTCTCTTTAGTAGTACATATCTCTATTAATGGATGCCATATATCAATTAAGTAGATGCAAAGTATATAGAAAGGTGCTGTGTCTCTTAACAGTAGGTACCAGAATAATGCTCTTAAAATGGTTACCGTGTCTCTTAAGTGAGTAACGATGATATATTGAAAGTCAGGTACCAAATCATATAAAGTAAAATTTTTACGTATACTTCTTGAAAGCCAGTACCATGTCTTTCTTAAAGTAAGTGCAAGTGTTCTCTTAAGTAAGTGCTCTCTTAAGAGTATGTTCTGCCCAGGTAAAAGTGTCCGTGTCTCTTAAGTAGGGTACTGTGTCTCTTAAAATTAGGCAAAAGTGTCTCTTAAGTGAAGGCCAAAAGCAAAATTGCGTTCTCTTATAAATATAAAGTGCCTCTTTAAGCTAAAGTGCCTCTAAATCTTCATAGGTGCTCACAAATCTTGTGTTGTATAAGTAAGTAAAGTGCCTCATAAGAAGAAAGTAAGGAGACAGGTTTGCTTTTACCT